TGCTTGGCCTGCTGTGTTCATCCAGCCCTGCACCTTGTTGTCTCGGATTCTCCCGCATCTGCAGTTCCTACTATCTCTGAACCATTTAACCAGATGTTTATTTTGATTGGTTCGGATTTGGACGTGGTTAAATAATTTAACTGTTCCAAACCAGATGTAGGTGGACTTTCAGAGGTGTGCACTCTTCCGGATACCTGCCTATGAGTTCTCTTACTTCATTTAGGTGCGACTCTTTTGCTGTCTCAAGTCCGCATAGCGGCAGCAACTACTTGCCAGCCCTGAAGAAAATTTTAACCTTTTGTTCAAGATTTGGCTTTGTTTTGGGGTTTTGCTGTGGGATGATCTAAAGTCTCTCTCTTCAGGATATGGCCTGTGTGAGGCTATGCAATTGCCTTCACTCATGTAGTGTTCCCCAAGTTTAGTCAGACTGGTGGGGGTATCCACTTCCATCAGAATATGCTGCACCTTGTATACTCCACTTTCCAATCATAAAGCCAGCTGTAGTGCCTGTTTGAAATCCAGTTGGGCTTCAGCTAGTAGATGCTTTTGCATGGTTACATCATTGATCCCACATACCAAATGGTGTCTCAGCATCTCATTAAGGGTTAAACCAAAGTCACATGCTTCTGCTAGTCATTTTAACCTAGTCAAAAATCCCAATAGAGATTCTCATGGTTCTTGAATTGCCAAATAACACCAATAGCATTTCAGAATTAGTGGAGGCCTGGGGTCATAATATTCCTTAAGCAAATCTGTCAACAGTGCCTCAGGGAAAGTTAGGCTCCTGATAACTGAAAAAGCCAAGGGTGCACAAGATGTCAGCAGAATTGCTCATTGCTTCTCATCCACCGCAATGTCATTTGCCCAGAAAAAAAAACACATTCTTTCCAAATACTGGGCCTAATTTTCAATGGCAGGATCAAATGAATCAAGCTTCCCAAATAACAGCATGATGCCAGAAATGCCTATCCCAACTCAAGGACGACTGTTGCAAGTGAAGTTCTTCGGGAGCATGCCTTTCTCTCATCGCCACTGAGATAACTCCACAGAGGCTGGTATCCTGCCACCAAATCACCGTTTATTTGCACGTGGAGACCCCTTGACACTGATCCAGCTCCCTCAGAGCCAGCTGTCAATGAACGGTTTGACACTCCTGTACTTACCTGTCAGCCAGGGGTCCCTGATTGGAGGAGATTAACAGCCCCAATCAGGGACCTCATTCTATAAAGGTCCACCTGGCTGACCTCATCACAATCACAACAGTGACCTTAAGTAGTAAACACTAAACTATTTCCCGTGATAAGCGGGTAGCTGTTCTTCAAACAGTAGTTCGCTTATTTCCTGAACAACATCAGAAAAAGTACATATTTATGATACAGTGACATAGCAGCTTAATGACTTCTTATTAGACACTAAATGAGTATTTGTGAACAAGATACCTTCTAGATAGAGCTGTAAAGCCATCCATCTTCATCTCCTTACAATTATAGCATAAAAGATGGAGGCTATGCCAATTGGCCTTTTAGAATGTACTGAGGTACAATATTAAAAAAAATACAACTTTTGTCAGCATTTTACAATGTTTGGTCATTACTTATGCACCAAGTACATACTTGTGTTCAATTCACACATTTGAATGCTACAATTTTGTTTCCATCACAGATAAGGATTTCTGTAGGAATTGGAGGGTACAGTTTAAATATAATGCCTCTCTCAACTGAGCAGAAACTGTGGAACCCGATATAGGACATCTCAAACAAGTAAGTATTTAGCTCATAGCAAGATATATGCACAAATAAACCAAAGTTTTGGAAAGGAACCAAACTGTAAACAGATAGAATCAGTAAGTTTGTGACTGGAAGAAATCTTGAGGTTTTAACTGCATGCATTTTGCTGAGGTCATATTTCCGACAGGCTTGAATAAATGTTAAAATCAAAAAGGAATTAAATGCGTTTACATTGCAGTTCTAAAATTGAATAGTCCAAGAAAGGCTGTGCATTTTACAGTATCAGGCTTAGCTACTGTGCAGCATTTAGACATAACCGATTGTCTCTTCAGATACATTTCCAACATTCTCAAGAAAAGTTTTAAATCTTGGCCAAGTGACAGCGAAAGGCAAAATCTAACGCAGGTACTCTTTGACTGGAAAAAGTAGATGCTTAATGAATGTATATTTTCCCAACCTCTAAATAGGACCATCAGTTGCCTTCTTAGTCAGTAGAGGATTATGCAAAAACAATGAAGGAAATAAACTAGAAGGCATCCGATTCAAGATTTGGACTAAAACTCAATTCTCCTAAATCTTCATTTTAACATGAGATCTGCCTTGACATGGAAGATAAGGGTAAAGAGTGATGTAAACTGATTAAATTTGAATGAAAATAAAAAGGCCATTTGGGGAAAAGGGACATGTATTCGCACGAGAGCATGGAACTAGTACTGGAAGTGGATGGGGAGTGACGGAATGTGAATGCTAAGTGCTAAAGGATCTAATATTTAACAATACAACTGGGACTAATCACAGAAAACTGAGGTGGCCCTTTTAATTAGGTAGCTTCAGGGGTCAGTAGCCCTTATGCCCAATTCCAATCTGCATCCAGGGCAGTGGTCCCAACTCTACCTTGCACCAAACTCACCAGAGTAAAAGTCTAGTCTGGAGAAGCACTATTGACTGAGGTGGGTGTGGCTACTGGGAAATTTTGCATTTCACTCTATCTATCTTGGGGAGAAAAATCCAGCCCATCATTGCTAAGTGTCTTATCATTACATCAGAGAGCTGTTTTAGTAGTGGAGTCAACTGAAGAAGGTTCAAAATTAACCAGCACATACTTTCATTAACTTGGAACTGCCACAGAAATCACAGTCCATTCTTTTCAGAGATAATCAACGCTGGGATTTTCCAGGTATGATTCCAATGATTTTACATATAGCAATCAGTTAAAATGTTACACTGTGCAGAGAATTTAGGCCGGACTTGGAGCAGCTTTATTCTAAATTTTAAGAGAAGTTTTCTTTATTTTAGTTCCTTACACAGAGCTATAAACAGAAGTTATTCATATACTCCAATCTACACTTGATGTAACCACAACTAATCACCCTTGTACTACACTTGTATTGCTAATTCTTCAAAAGCAAAATGCCAGAACACTTCAAATTTTGAAAAGACACCTATTTATACATGAAGTTGCTTCAAATAAAACCGAAGGATTGAGACTTGGATACAATACTAGAAATCTGGTCAAATTTTCGATACAGGGAAGATTTAAACATTAAAACAAAGCAAGTAGATAACATGGAAAGTTCTCCAATTCCTATATTGAACACAAAATGATTAACGTACCGTTCCATGTGATATTGTAAGATAACCATTTTTTACTGTACATTTCCTTTTCTGCCACACTTTCCTGATTCTGTAAAAAAACATTAAAATTAAATTTTGCATAATTTGCATTTAATCCAATGTCTTGGCAATCTTTGGAAGCACAATTTATTTTGAATTGAGAATAATTTTCAGCCTCTACATTTGACATCATTAAGTTGTAACTCATGAGCTACTAAAATCTGCCCAGATCTGTCAATTTTCTAGAAATATCTGTTTTTTGTGTCAGGTTTAAAGGACTGTCACTCTTATGAATTGGGAGGGGTTTCCAACATGGATATAGAGACCTTCAGACATTTTTTTTAAAAGTGGTACAATGTTTTAGAAAAAACAACTTTCAACTTACCCATCACTTTTTTTATGCAGGTATCCACATTTTTCAGTTCCATGTTCCTTGTTTCCCTGAGGTTGATGCAAGCTGTATGTTGTATTTGGACGAATCTGTGAATCCTAAACAAGAGTATTAATTTGATTACTCCTCAGTATGTAATTTAAATTAGCTATCTTAATGGTAGTCAAGGAAGGGAGGCTGAGGGGTTACATGTAAAATGCTAACTCTGTTCTCTTCACTGATGACTGCATGGTTCTCTCATTTTATAGTTTTTTGTTAAAGGGCATGGTGGTGCACCATTATCTACCAATACCTAAACAATACAATGTCATTTTTTCACAATTCAAACTTAGTTACAAGATTTATTATTCTCTGCTGACCTATCTATAGAAGATCTGCTAACATGAGATATAGGGAGCTTGACTTTATTCATTTCAAAATGGACTTATACAGTTTTGACATGATCTTCTTGGCAAGATGGCAGCAGGGTAGGACGCTCCAGTTGGAGCTCCTCTACTCACCAATCCCTTTCCCTTTTTTTTCTCCTCTTCACAGTTTTTCTTCCTCCGCCCCACTTCTGCCCTACCTGGAGACTGGAGTTGAGGAGTGGAGCAAGCACGGGCAGAGTCCCACAGCGGCAGCGGACTGAGTGCGGGCCAATCCCACAGCAGCAGCAGAGCGAGTTCTGGATGGAGGCCAGCACGTGGAGGCAGCATGGCCTCATGCTCTGGAGCCAGCAGGCACGGACTGGAACTTATTGTCACTTATCATTCTGGACATTTTCTAACGGTTCCCGTGCTAATCGATACACTTTTATCTCTAACAACACTTTTTTGAAAAACTCTTAACTACACTTAAAAATATCTGTACCTAGGTCCTCTGTATCTAAGATGGTGCCGAAAGGCGACATCACAAACTTTTCACTGCACCTATTTTAGTGCACATGATAAAAGGCTATTCTATTCTAGAGAGAGTGTAATTTCAGCCGAATTATGGTCTTTCACATAAGCATTGGGCAGGCTGCAAAAATGTCATTGCACATACTCTCTATCTTCAGCTGATATGATAAACTAAATTCTAATTGAGCTGCTTATAGCATGAGCAAAAAAAAAAACAACTGCCATATATAAATCTCACAAATTGCAACATCTTTATTTCCTTCTCCTTGAAAAGGACTAGGCAAGATGATAACATTAAAAGAATTGTCTGAACCCATTCCAAGTTTTGATACATCTCAAAATATCTGGGTCTTCAACAATAATGATGTTTCTCAAACCAGTAGGGCAGTCAGCCCCTTAAGCTTGTTCTGTTAATCAATGAGATCATGGCTGACCTGCAAGCTAACTCCATACATCTGCTTTTGAACCATATTCTTTGGTAATTTTGGCGACCAATATTCCATCAATCTGACTTTTAAAATTGATAATTTCGGCATTACTTGCCATTTCTGAAATATAGTTCCAAATTTTCACCATACTTGACATAAAAAATTTCCCAATTTCACTCCTGGAAAGTACAGTTTTAATTTTTAAGACGGTATCTCTTAGCCCTAGCCTTTCCAACAAACAATAATATTATTTTCCCTTAACAGTTTTTTTCAATCAGATCACCTCATACAACTTAAAATCTAGGAGTCACAACCCTATCTTTACTTCAATCATTTAACCTTTGGAGTCTAGGTATCATTTTAGTAAATTTATGGATGCCGGCTCAGCCAATTTCTAACCAGAGCCTTAGTTAAGAATTTCCTATGAAGGACTTTATCCTCTTGAAATTCATATAAATCATACCATAGATGTTCCCTTGTCCCTCACTTTAGTCACCTCTTCAAGAAATACAATAAAGAATAATATATCCTCTACAAATCGATGCTGGCCCTCTGATCAGCTGGAGATTTTCCAAGGTGTTCAGTCACCTCATCCTTATGAACTCTAACAATTTCCTTCCAAAAGATGTTGGGCTAGCCAGCATGGATTCCCTCTGTTAACTTTCTTAAATAGCACTGTAATGGAAATTTTCTTTGGCAACCTATCCAAACTCTATTTCTTGCAATAAAGACTTTGCAAGTATGTCACCATGATTTAACTGCAAATCACAAAAATGGCTTTAATTTGCATCAAGATTTCAGGGAAGTGATACAGAATAGGATCTGGACTCAATAATACAAAAAAAAACATCAGCTACATTTATAAGAATCCTACAGACTGAAAAAATAACAATGATTGTAAGCAGGTGGATCAGAAATTAATATGTATGTTATGCCAACTAATTTTAAAAACACAGCAAAATAATAATAAAAAAATCCAAAGTTGACCACATTGATATTTTACTTTCTTTTTGTCTCAAAATATGGGCAGTACATATTTATATTAGGACAACATAATCAAATAAAACTTAAAAAGAAATATCCTCAGACCAAAATTAAACAATAAATTATCAACAGGTAACATTTATGCACTACATTAGACACAAGAATAACTTACTCTCCTAGACTTTGATCATAAAGGGTAGTTGCATTTTGGAAGGAAACAAAAGATTAGTTACAAGAAATTTACCAGATCACATTAATAACAGGTACAAGACACTGCCTATCATGTCTACTTAACACCAAATGAAATCTGTTATATTGCATTCATATAATGTAATCAGTAACTTATATATAGACAAATGTATCATTTAAAGAATATCTCAAACATCATTAGCCTCAGGAATTCTGTACACATTACTAACAGAAAACGATCTAGTTCCATGCAAATCAAAATCCCCTGCGAATACACAGGTGGGGCTTTTCAGATGTTTGAGTTTGGGATGAAGTGTTGGCAGGAATGTATCTCAGATTAAGTGGCTGCAGAGCAGCCAGAATTGTATCCCAAAGAGCCTTAATTTATCACCTTAGTGAGCTGCCAGCCAATCTGATTTGTTCAGTAGCACTGCAGTTCCACCTACACCAGATTTGAGCACTGGCCACTGATAATACCGTAGGCAAGCCATGTTGAGGAATAAAACTAAATCTGGTAGATTGACCAATCAAATTGCATCTGGAAATCAACACCTTACATTTACCTTTAAAATGCGAAAATGTTAGGGTGTACACTGTCTTCTGAATATTTTGAGGGGGTGTAGTCTAGTCTGTACCAACATTCAAATCCTTAAATGTATATTGTAAGTAATTGTGGCTCCAGCACTGATTCCTGCGGCATACTACTAGTGACATTTTTCCACCCTGAAAGTGACCCCCTTCTCCCAGCTGTTTTTGATTACTTAGCATGGATAAAAGACTGACTAATACACTATCTCCAACATTCAATATCCTTGTCCAAAATGGGGGTGTAACCTTTGCACCATTAACAAATAAGCAGTAAAACAAATCAGCAGAACAAAAATTAAATCTCTATCAAATCCAAGTAAAGCATAATTTTAGTGCTGTAACATGAACTAACATATCATATGCGCCATTACATAGAAGGCAACATTCCCAATGAATTTTTCACGTCTTTTTCTCTAACGTCATCCCACTGTGAACATCAACGGAGATTGAAATACTTAAGATGTTTGATGAATGCTTTAATGAATCACCTTGATGTAAGACTTTTGAAATACACTATGTCAATCAAAGCCAATCCAAAATGGTCATTTTTCCATTTTACGTTCTTAATCAATCCTAACTGTTAGAAATCAAAACAACGCTGTAATTTCCAAAATATCTAACCTATATGGAGATACAGAAGGTACATTTGGAACTTTTTGGTACCACAGAATTTTCCCAACAAAATGTCTGTTGCATCACTAATTTTGTAGATTTAATATTTTCACTCTCAAATAGTCAATATCATTCAATTCATTCTTAAGGACATGGAGATATCTCCGACATCTGAATATTTTGAAAAAAAAGTTACTGTAATTTAAGAACACCTGGATTTTAACATTTGTTGTAAAATTAGGGAAGATGTGTCTTGGATAAAACTATAGACACGTTTCTCTATACAAATTACACCAATGTGACGAATAACTTGAACAAAGGGATGCATGGACATGTACATGTGTTTCAGCATAAAATAAAGTGCTCACCTCTTTTTGTTCTACCTGTAGCCCTGCTTTTAATACATCTCGAAGTTGAACCAGCTGTTTTCTTTCCTCATCCTGTACTTGTTTTATCTGGAAATAAAAAGCTATATGGTCATATTTCATATTGAAAGAATAATTCTTCGATACACAAGCAGCAGATTTAAAAGAATAAATTGAAGCATGTCGTCTTTTTGATAATTACAGATTAATTAAGAATAATTAACAAAATCATATGCTTACAAAAGATTACTAGAGTTTAATTAACGGAATGATAAAAGCAAAATTTTCCCACTTATTTAGAAAAAATAACTTCATGCCTCGTTAGTTCCCAGCCTGAGCCAACTCAGTGAGCCCAACTCATTCTCAAAAAAATCAGTGCAACAACATCAAACTAAACACCACACCTTGCATTTTCTTCTGTTCTTACCTCTTTGTTCAATTATTAATTTAGAATCTCTCCCACTAAATTTCAGTTATCTCTTAACTATTTTACGTCTTTAAATGCTAGTTGTGTTTATATTCTCAGGTGCTTTGGGCTAAAATCTCTAGCATTATTACTGATATTACTAGGTTTCAGGGACAAGACATGAAATGTATTTTGTTTCAAAATGTGGTGACTGGAGACAAGGCCAAGGCCAAGTGCTGCTTACAAGGACTAACCCAAATACTCTGGAGTAGAAGCCATCCTAACTTCTTTGCTGAAGGCCCTTGCAATGACATTCAGAATTAAATCAGTTGATGTGCAAACTGGAAATGTTTTTTAAAAAATTCATTCATGGGATGTGGATGTCATTGGCTAGGCTAGCATTCACTCATGGGATGTAGGCATCACTGGCTGGACCAGCACTCATTGCCCATCCGTATTGCTCAAGATGGTGGTGATCTGCTTTCTTGAACCACTGCAGTCCATTTAGTGTAGATAGACTGATATGCCGTTAAGGAGTGAGTATGAGGATCTTGACCCAAAAACACAGAAGGAACGGCAAAATATTTCCAAGTCAAGATGGTAGAGACTTGGATGGGAACGTATGGTTGTAGTTGTGGGAGTTCAGTCACATCAGCTCCAAGACATCCCTGCAAGAATTTCTCACATTACTGTTCATGGCCCTACCATCTTCAGCTGTATCATCATGGATCTTCCCTCCAGCATTACGTCAGAACGTTAGCTCATGATTGTATAATGTTCAGCACCATTTATGATTCCTCAGATTCTGAAGGAGTCCATGTTCACATGCAAAAAGACCTGGACAATATCCCGGCATGGGATGAAAAGTGACAAGCAACAACTGCGCCATACAAGGGTTATCTCTGATAAAAGACAATCAAACCACCATCCCTTGACATTCAATGATACCACGACTGAATCTCCCCAACAATTCGTTCTCAGCCCCCTACTGTGCTCCCTGTACACCCACGATGGTGTAGCCAAATTCTGAGCGAATGCCATCTACAAGTGTCTGATGACACCACCATGGTAGGAAAGATATCAAACAATGATGAGTCAGAATACAAAGAGATAGAGGGCTTGGTGATGTGGTGCGATGATAACTTCACTATGTTGGCAAAACTAAAGAACTGATCATTGACTTCAGAAAGAAAGGAGGAGAACATGTCCCTGCCTACATCAATGGAGCAGAGGTTGAGAGGGTTGACAGCATCAAGTTCCTAGGAGTGATGATAACTGACAATGCGTCCTGGAGTTCCACGTTGATGCGACGGTCAAGGCAGCACAACACCTTTTCTTCCTCAGATGGCTCAGGAAATTTGGCATGTCCATAAGGACCCTCACCAACTTTTACAGATGCACCACAGAAAGCATACTGTCTAGGTGCAGAATGGCCCAGTATGGCAACTGCTCTGGTTGTGTTCACAGCTCAGACCATCATGGAAGCCAACCTCCCATCCATGGATTCCATTTATACCTCTTGTTGCCATGGAAACGCTACCATCAAAGACCCACCCCACCCCAGTAACACTCTTCGACAACCTCTTCCATCAGGCAGAAGATACAGAAGCTTGAACACAAACTAACACGTTCAACAACAGTTTCTTCCCTGCCATTATTAGGCTGATGAATGGACTCTCTAACTTCAAATAATGTTGATCTTGTTAATGTTGTTCGTGCCTTGCTCTGTCCAAATATTTTTCACCCTATGGTCTGTATGTCCTTGTTTACTATGATCTGCCTGTAATGCTCACAAACAAAGCTTTTCCCTGTACTTAGGCACATATGACAACAAATTAAATCAATCAATCCCTCCACCACTGACACTCAATAGCAGAAGTGCATATCATCTACAAGATGCTCTGGAAATATACCCCTGTACCTTCACCACAGCTCTTCACGCAACTCCTTCCAAACCCACAACCAGTTCAATCTATAAGGACAATGGCAACAGGTACATGGAAACATCACCACCTGCAAGTTCCCCTCCAAGCCACTCACCATCCTGACTTGGAAATATACCCCAGTACCTTCACTGTTGCTGGGTCAAAATCCTAGAATTCCCTCCCTAATGGCATTGTAGATCTACCAACAGCACATGGACTGCTGTGATTCAAGAAGGCAGCTCATCACAAACTTCTCAAAGGCAACTAGGAAAAGGCAATAAATGCTGGTGAGCCAGTGACACACATGTCCCATAAGCTAATTAAAAAATTTTGCTACAATCCCCAGAAGCTTTTCTCAAGACACACCTGAGGATATGGATACTCCTATTCTCCCCTGCCTAAGACCCAAAGTTTACAGCAGTTCAAGCCAAGGATGGCGAGCCAGGTTTGGGCCCTTTAGTCCCAAAAAGCACCAAGAAATGCCTGCCCAAGTCTTGCAAGCCAACAGGCAAGCTCCCTGCACCTGGATGTGGGCATTACACCTAGACAGTAGTGGGAAGCAGGGGTCCCCTGGTCCACAACCCCCCCAGTCCTAAAACCTCCCCACACCCACCACGGCACCTTCCCGTGCAATCTAGGTGTAACACCTGCCCATTTACTTCCTCCCTCTTCACTGTCCAAGGTTACGGACACACTTGCCAGGTCAAGCAGCAATTTACCTACACTTCAATCAATCTAGTCAACTGTATTCGTTGCACACAATGTGCTCTCCTCTACACTGGGGAGATGAATCGCAGACTGGGCAACCACTCTGTGAAACACCTATGTTCTGTACACAAAAGTTACCCCAAACATCCTGATATTTGACACGTCAACGCTCTACCATGCCCCTGGCCAACATTTCTGTCTTGGACCTACTGCAGTGCTCCAGCAAGGCTCAGCCCAAGCTGGAAGAACAGCATCTCTTTTCTACTTGGGCACCATGCAGCATTCAGGACTCTACATAGAGTTCAATAGTTTTAGGGCCTGAACACCTTCTTCCATGTTCGTTCCCGTCCCCACACTCCAGGCCCTGACATCACATGGATTGCTTTCAGCACAGCCACCTATTTTCACCTACTTATCATCTTTGTTATCAGCTCTTCAGCTTTCCATTCCTTTGTCTAAGTGTCTTTCTTTCTCTCTGGGTTCTGTCTCCAAATATCACTCACTCCTTTACCCCTGCCCCATCCACATTTGGCTTTTCCTAGCTACCATCAGTTCTGAAGGAGGATCACTGGACCCAAAATATTAACTCTGCTTTCTCTCCACAGATGCTTCTCCAGCAATTTCTGTTTTTGTTTCAGATTTACAGCACCTGCAGTTCTTTGCTTCACTTATTATTCAGCAGAGATGGGTGTGGCATATAGGTCCCTGTTTTTTTTTCAGATTTCCAGCATCTGCAGTTCAAAGTTCATTTGACCTTTGCAATAACAAGGGCTGCTTGACACATTACCAATATAATTTTAAGCAATTAAACAAATTTCCAAACCTAGCCCATTCAAAAAAAGGATCAGGCTTCAATTAAGAAATCTCTGGCCTTGAACCTGGCGATGCACTGATCTGAGATGCTGTCCTGAACAGCCCTCCTCGTCAATGACCTCCTCCTCATAAGATTGTTGTAATTCCACCATTTTGTCTGCATACAGAAAATCATCCCTCTTGTTGGGTCCAGGTGTAAAGAGCGAATCATACCCGAATGATGTGGCACACCTTTTCAGGATTATACTGCAAAGCTATGCTGAAGCTGACGCATCAAAGCCTCACTTTAATTAGGTTTATGGTCTGTTCCACTATGGCTCTGGTGGGAGTGTGAACCTCAATGCATCTTTACTCTGCATTAGATGGAAGGTTTTGTATTGGTACCAGCAGCTTTGTTTGGAGGGGCTATCACATCTCTCCCAGCAATCACATTACCCAAGGACCTTGGAAGACAGCAGGTACCTCAGAGTTCTCTAGTATGCAAAATGGGAAGGTGGTGGCAATTATGGCAATGTCACTGGACTAATAATGCAGATCCCCATGCTAACATTCTGGGGACATGGGTTCAAATCCCATCACAACAGATGGTAAAACTTAAATTCAATTAAAAAGTTACGCTGGTGGCAACCATATAACTACTGTCAATTGTTGTAAAACCCACCTCATTCACAAATGTTCTTTCTAATATTCATTGATGTCCTCAGCTGGTCTGGCCTTCTTGTGACTCCAGACCCACTACATGTGGTTGACCCTTAACTGCCCTCCAATAATTAGGAGGGCAATAGATACTGGCCTAGCCAGTGGTGCCCATACCCCATGAATGAACAAAGATGATCTGTTGGACTACCAGAATATTGCATTAGTGGTCACATATAACTTGAACATTGATAGAATCGAAGCCTTTTTTGCTGATGAACTCTGCAGATTGATGATAAGGCACCCTGAAAGCAATGTGGATACAGGGAAGCCAGTGATGGTACACAAACCAATGCCTGTAGTAGCACCTAGACCACAATGATACCAGTTACAGCAATCTTCATGTAAGATTTGTATGTAGATAATTTGTGGAGAATGTTAGAAAAACAACAAAATTTTATTGAAGGAACTCCACAGTCCTCTCATCCATCACAATGCTCTAACAGAGTGCAGGTCTCCCAAGGAGGTCACTGTTATGCTTACATAAGAAGCTCGAATAAGCAGACATGACTATTGTAACTGTCCCTAGTACGGTCTTCAAT